TTTTAAATATAATTTGAAGAATGGAACTTGTTTTATAGAATACAAAAGTCTGATGGTTCACAGGAAGTATGAAGACTTGCCAAAATATATTGTAAAAATACTTAGGAATATATTATTTAATCTTCTCTACATCGCTGTGATGCAGCGAGTACTTGCATTGTTAGAATTTTTAAATGCAAAACACCTTTTATAATTTGTGACTCCCTCCCAGTGTAGTTAGAAGAAGAAAGAACATAATTCTTCTTTTGGAGATTCCTAACTTTATAGTCACAAGGGGAGATACATATACTGGATCCAATAAGTCTAAATATATTACATTGTATGACATTTAAAAAGCAGTTATTTGAGCTTGGGAATTACCGTAAACATTTTTAGACAAATGTATGAAATAATTTCAGCTTAATTTTTTTAAAGCAGTTTTCCAGTCTTTTGCCTGCTCAAGAACATCTTGCATGTGCTTGTTATGAAAACTGCTGGAGAACAAAAAGGCTGGGCTATTTTTGTAACTCTTTCATTGTTCATATCACTGGAATCCCGTCCATGGTTTCTGTGTAACTGATAGTTTTCTCTCTGAGAGTGCCATTTTCCTTTCTGCCCCTTTGTAACTCCATTAACTCATACTTCAAAGGCACACTGAACAGAAATTTGTGCAATGATATTTAAGATTGCAATGATAAATATATAGAAAAGTAAGGCATATCATAGTTCGGTGTTTGGTGCATAGCTTTTCATTATGGTGACTACATATTTCCCCCAGCTTCCTTGCTTTTGTTGGCTTCCAGAAACATGATCTTTGTCCCAAAGGGGTTTTTTACGTTTTATTTTTTGCCTAGTGTGGTGTACCCAAGTCCGCCAATCCTTTCTGTTTGTGGCTTACTGTGTAATTGGAATAATATGTTGATTCTATAAATATTTTCATATAGATCATTCTGCCTTAATGCTGAGATTGGAACAATTATCTTCAAGTCCTTTCTCATATTAGGTTTCAATAGGTGAAGTTTCTTACTGGATTTTACAATATTGCTACTGACAGGCCATTGTTGGGAGTGACTAAAAGGATTGGGGCTTCCTGTTTTAATGTAAAATCCTGTATTCTTTCTCTCATGATTTGAAGCAAAGCTGTGCTGTCCCAGAACAGGAAAGGAGCCAGTCATTCACCCCTCAGAATGCTGCTTACCTGTCTAGCTAAAAGATCTTTCTCAAGATCTGGCACACAAGTATTAATGAAGAACTATTGAAGCATGTTGCCCCATGGATTCAGAGACTCTGCCCTGTCCAGTAAATCAGCTTGCTTAAGGTGCTTTCAGGTCTCAGCAAGGGCACACTCTGATCAGTTGACTTCTGCGGGCGGGGGCGGGGGGGGGGGCAGCTGTCTGCCCAAGTCAGCCAAATCTGTAGCCCAAACAGTGGAAACATTCCAGAGGAGCACAAAAGGATTAGAGCTGCCAAAAGCAGGTGCATAGTCTAGAACAAAGGCAACAATATGCCAAAGCAAATACAAAGCCAAATAGGGGTCAAGATCCAAGGGAGCAGGAACTTAGGCAGTTTCCTCATATCAAAGGTGAATTGCTTGGACTATGGAACAAGCTCTGAGGCTTGTGTAATCTTCCACCCAGATGGCAAATATGGTGCTACCTTCTGATGAATGTGACAAGCTTTCTGCCTCACTTTTAAGTAACAGAAAAAAGGTATGGATAGCCAAGCCTGCAACATGCACACAGCCATGTCACCTTTTCTGCTTCAGAGCTGAAAGGACCAGTGGTGAAGCAATGGCATAGTGGCATGCTGCTCTCCCTGCTGGCAGGAGAAGGTTGGATGCCAGTGTCGCAGCTTTACCAATCAGCCATGCTTCCATGACTGGGAGAGTTGCAAACAGGGGGGTCTGGCCAGAAATAAAAGAGGGTAGGAGAGTTTATCTGGGGGTGGTGATAGGAAGCTGATGACTTTAATTTTTGTTGTGGTCAGCCATAGGCTTGAGCTTTATAGAGCCTGGTAGACAAATATTTGCTCTTGGAGTCGGCAAACTTGGAAGGCTTGAGCAGGTTGGTACTACATCCTAAACAGTGCTGATCAGGCATAAAACTCAGTCTGCAAGGCAACATAGAGTTTATGAGGCAGGATAAATGGCATCTGCTAGGTGGCATGTTTGAAGTACTGAGTGCCACGAGTCATGCTTTGAGACGCACCTGGTGTCTTACAGGCAATGTTTTACTGCACTTGATTCTTTGATGTTATGTGGTATCTTGTCAGGATTGTTTGGGTGAACATTTAAAGACTATTGTGATAAAGGATGATTCATGGATTGATGAAGAAAAACATGTAAAAGTAGTAGTGTTGATAGCATCACAATGTGCACAGTACTTTAAACCAACGCAGCATCCATAGGTACCTCCAATGGCACCCATGAAGAGGTCTCCAACATGGGGCCTGCAAGCAGCCAATTTTTAATTTTTTTCTTAACCTTTTCCCATTTTTAATGTATATACATGGATTTGCATAAACCTTCTTGCATTTATACAGAGGCTTCAGCAAAATTGGACCAAAAATCCAAATGAGCATCCAAGTTATATATGAATGTCTATATGCTACTTGATCATATATCAGAAAACAGTGTAAGGTTCTTAATCCATTGCCTTATAGGAACTTAGTGTTTATTCTTCCAGTTTTGTAATATCAGTCTTTTAACTGTCCAAAGGAACCAGTAAATCTATTTATGCTGACCATTTGTTAATTTCCATGGGCATGCAAATAATTTAAGAGAGCATGCACATCAGTAAATATTAAACACACTTCCAGTACAAAACTTACCCTAACTCTAACCTACCAAAAAGAAGCAACTACTGGACATTGCCAAAACATATGCCTAGAAGAGGCACTAACTCTACTGTATTGCCAGCAATTAGCTTAATTAGACAATCCCATATTAAACTGACATTGCAGTGTTTGATAGACATGAAACAAAATGTTTTGCTGAACAAGGTGCAGCCTGAAATTTTTGCATGTGGAAGATGCAACAGGTAAACAGCAAAGTGGCAGCCCACAAATTTGGCATTTTGTACCCACAGCAATGTCTCAAATTCCCAAATATACCTACACATTCATAAATGGTGGGACCTCCTGCTTTACAGTGGCATCCCTCCTTAAATCTCTGTAGTACGGTACTTTCAACTTCCAGATGTAGCTTGAACTCCCTGCCTTCACACTTCCCTCCAGCCCCATATCTCTGCCTCTCCCTGCTGTGACCTTTGCTCTTCCAGGGAGACCTGCTGTCTCCCTCAGTCATCTAAAGGTCACATACTTCCTCAAAGGATCCCACCCATTCTCTTTCCCTCATACACAGTGACAGCTTCCATACACACCTGTGTGATGATGTATCTCTCTCTTTCTTTCCTTAAAAATACCACACATTACCCACGAAGCCACAGGCACACTCCCTTGTTCCTTACTGAAACCAAGCTCAATATGTATATTTAAACAGAGCACATCTTTTTTTCTTTTACCTTCCCTTCTCTCATCCTTAGGAAAAAATTTCAATGGCAAATCTAGGCAGCATATTAAAAAGCAGAGGCATCACCCTGCCAACAAAAGTTCGTATAGTCAAGGCTATGGTTTTCCCAGTTGCAATATATGGCTGTGAAAGCTGGACCATAAGGAAGGCTGAGCGCCAAAGAATTGAGGCCTTTGAATTGTGGTGCTGGAGGAGACTCCTGCAAGTCCCTTGGACTGCAAGGCGATCAAACCAGAGCCCTAGAGGAGATCAACCTTGACTGCTCTTTAGAAGGCCAGATACTGAAGATGAAATTCAAATACTTTGGCCACCTAATGAGAAGGGAGGACTCACTGGAGAAGACTAATGCTGGGAATAATTTACAGCAAAAGAAGAAGGGGACGACAGAGGATGAGGTGGCTAGATGGAGTCACTGAAGCAGTCGGCGTGAACTTAGGTGGACTCTGGGAGATGGTGGAGGACAGGAGAACCTGGAGGAATGTTGTCCATGGGGTTGCGATGGGTCGGACGCGACTTTGTGTCTAGCATAACATTATAGGTTTGACAGCCAATCCTTCAGAATTTCAACAGTTAAACATGACCAGTTTAAAGCACAAACAATTAAATACATAATAACATGCACACATAAAATAGCTGTAAAATAAACCCTGAAATGATTTAAAAGTGGATTCTAAATTCCTTGGTAAAGGAACCAGGCTTCGAAGTTGGAATATACAGCATCTTGCACATTAATAGCATGCATTGATTTTACAGCACACCTCACCATTAGTTGAAGACACATTTTAGGCTTCATTTCAGATATGAAGACTTAGCAAAAGCCTTCAAAGAATTTGAACTGAACTGATCTGAGGGGTGGCACCACACAAGAGTTCTGGGAAAGAGTTCTAGTTTTAAAAAAGAATGGGCAGAATATGTTCAGGAGAGCAGGAGATTGGGAGAGCTAAATACAGTGCACCTGTTATAAATAGGGATTAACCTGAAGAGCATTTGAACTGATATGGCACCTAATCTGTCCAGGTGATGTAATTCCTGTAAAACGGAAATCTAGACAAATATCTAGCCAAAACAAACAAACAAATCCACCCATCCTTTCTTGAATCCAATTACTCGCCACTATAAATCAATAAAGATTTCACCCTCAGTTTCATGTGTTCTTTATCCAACATTAGAGAAACTCCCAGATATAACCCAAAGCATGCAGGAATTGAGCAGGCAGAACTGTTCCCTTAATCCTCTTGGGCTGGCATGGCTGTGAAAGCTCTTTGGGACTGGCAGATCAAGAGCATGCAACAGGGCTGTCAGTAATCATACTTCTTATCTTAGAATTACCCTTTAAGATTAAAGTCTGGCTTGCTGAAGAGGTGGAGTTCAAATTCTTGAAGTCTTCATACACCCTCTTGAGTTAGGAAGTACCTCTTAGCTCTACCGCAGACCGGAAACAGCATGTTTTCACAGTCAGTGCCTGTCTCCTGAGTTTGCTGCCAGCAGGAGCAAATCTCTCCGTGCTCCTCCTTAAGCAGACAGCTAATCGGCTTGTGGAGAATCGAACAAAATTCCTGCAAATTGCCTGAGTGAAGGAATAATCCTATTGATATCAACACTGAGTTCTTAGAAACTTGCTTGCTCTGAAGAAGAGAAGACATATATATGGATAGATGTGTGGTTTGGAGAAATAGTGAATGTGAGACGGTAACATTAACGCAAGAGAAGTGGGCTAAGAGACGCTGCTGAAGTTTGCATCTGCTGTTTATTATTAGAGGCCATCAGGAATTCAGATACATTACAGTAAGTTGGTCAGGCTCTTTCTGATTCTTCTTTGTTTGTAGTAAAATGAGTAATAATGACATGTTTCAAACTTTTCTTCTGTTGCACAGATACATGTTTTGCAGGGCTGGAAGTTCAGGGGAAAGGCTGTTAACTGTCTTTAACAGAATCAGAAATGTTGTCATCTTTTCCAGAACACTAGAAGAGATGAAGGGCAGTGATTTGAAGTTTGGGGTCTATCATAACAAGGCAATATAGTATTTGTTTCTTCCCTCATACAAAGGGGATAAAGTAGAAGATTTGTTTCTATAAAGTGAGATGTGTGGGAAAATGTATATAAAATAGTGGGCATTCTCAAGTTGAGTGAGCTTCCTTGTGGAAAGAAGAGTAACTAGAAACATTTGACTGTTACTGCTGTTCCATTTTCTCACTAGGTGAACTTTTCAGTATTCCTACTCTCTCACACTGCTCCCTCTTACTTTCTTCTTGCAAGTAGCTTGTTGACTTTAATCTAGGAAACAAAATGTCTGCCACATTCTTATACCTCTGCTAGAAATGAGTGTATCTATCTCTGTTAAGACTAGCTATCTGCTTGTTACCTGATACTGAAACCATGCTTTGATATGGGAGAAAACTTGTGTGTGTTTCTTTTCCTCCCAAAGAGACTACTGAGAAAGTAATCAGTGTTTCAGGTTGTCAGGCACTTATAATGCGATTCTGGCTATGCTTTCTTGGCAGTAAGTCCAACAGAAACAATGCTGCTTACTCTCAGAGAAAGGTCTGTAGGATTGCAGCCTGGATCTTCTGGAAGCCCTCTGGTCCAGTAGCAGTATATTGTATTCATAATTCATTGTGCATAATAGACAAGACATTGGGATCTGAGAAATTGGTTTCAAATGTTAAGCTCCCAGAAATTGTTGGCCTTTATATCTGAAGCAATACAGATATATTTTCTTCATATTGTTTTCTGTAAGACAGACTCAACTTTAGAGATGCATCTACATGAAAAACAGGGTATCCTATGTGTCCTGCAAGTCTCACTGGAATGCCACAATCTCACCTCAGTCTCTGCATATGTAAACAGATTCAGGGCCATAGGAGTCAGGGCTTTTAAACCATTTGCTGGTTTAAAAGCCATGATGAAAAGATTATATCTCTTCTCCAGTTTCACAGAATGATGAGGTTGCATTTTAGTGAGATGGCTTATTTTGGAGACTAAAGTAGGTTCAGCCCATCTACCAAATCCCTAAAATTCAGTGTGTTTGAGGAGCAACTGCATGGAGCAATGGGATATGATTTTTAAAGGCAGATCTGGGCAGTGGGGTACCACTGGGAAAGAGGGATAGGTACCATCCACAAGGGGGAGGGTGGTGGCCTGTGAATGGGACAAAATATTCTGCAGTAGGGCAAGACAAGACCTGCAACTTGATAGAATGGATAGTTGTCCATAACAGCAATGGACTGAGAGGGGTCCACTTGTAATCTCCTGTCCCACTATTCAGTCCTAGTGTAAACCTTTCACTGTCAAACAGTTGAAGGATAAAGTGCTCAGGAACCTGACCCTTACGGGGTTGGGGCAGAATGCATTGGAACATATTTAGTCCTCCAAAGAAGTGTTAAGAAGGGTGATCCTCCAACTTTCTGATGACCTGAGAGTAAGCCACTCTCTATATGGCACTTCATTCCTTTGTCAGCAATAACACTCAGATTAAGTATAAATCTTGACCAGCTCCATCCAAAGGGTCCGTATATCAGTATGCCCTAATCTGATTCCATCAGTGAGAGTGACTCCAAAATACTCATACATTAACTGTGGGAGAGAACAGAGTAATAACTAATAGTAGAATAGTAGCCATCTTCTGTTATTATCAAATCCATGGGAGCCCATCTACTTCCACTGTACACAAATTGTCCCATGCTGATTTATTTTAATATATTAATTACATTTATGTACCACCTTGTAACTGTAGCTCCTTGGAGAGATCACACAATTAAAACCATAAAATATAACACATCAAATATAAAATAATAGTTTTTAAATGGTGGTGTGGAATATACCGTATTTTATTCTCTATAAGACGCACCTAGTTTTTAGAGGAGAAAACAGGAAAAAAAAATATTCTGAATCAAATGGTTTACTAATGTATTTAATAAACTATAACAGAATACAGTAATATTGTATTTCAACCTTGTAAAGTGAGCAGCAGTCAACAGTGGCATTAAGAACCATCATCACTGTCATTAACAAAAGAGAGACTTTAAAGTTCGAGTACTCTTCTAGTTTTCGTTGAACCCATAGAATTCATCATCACTAGAGTCAGAATTTATGAAGCTCTGTTGCTCACAATCACTGACATCACTTTCTTAGTCAGCAGTGGAATTATTGAAGGAATCCACAATCTACACCAGTTATACAAGAGCTGCTGCAGACAATTCAATAACAAATCTAAAAAAGCCAGTAATGTCCACGCTGCCCTACTAGAAAATAGAAAATCGAAAAAAACTTCTGACAAAAAATGAGATATTGTACGGTAAATCAAACACACAGTGGACTAAGTAGCCTTTGAAGAATAAACTTCATACACGAAGGTAATGCTGTTCAAATATCCGCTGATCCTAAAAAAAATGTGTCTGATCAACTAACAGATAACTGATCCATGGAAAGCTTCCTGATAATCACAGGCACATTCCCCATCACTTCCCCATGGGCTTCATTAAAAGACGGGTTGCCATTTGAAAACACACACCGACCTGTGATTAACAGCTCTCACCTGTGCCAGAGGAGGGGGGCGGAGCAGGGCACGCTGAGCACGTGCCAGCCAGGTGGTGCCATGTGGGGCTGGCAGCATGCTGGCGGTGGTCTTCCAGGCAGCGGCAGGTCTTCCCAGGTGGTGGGGGTGAGCAGTCCGTCTCTCCGTGCGGCCGGTGGGTTAAAGCCCGCGGCTCCTCCTCCTCCTCCACACACCTCCCCCTGAGCGGCACAGCTCTCACCTGTGCCGGAGGTGGGGGGTGGAGCAGTGCGCGCCAAGCGCGTGCCAGCCAGGTGGTGCTATGTGGTGCAGGTGGCCGGCAGTGTCCCGGGAGTCGGGCACACACACATTCGCTCTATAAGATGCACAGACATTTCCCCTTACTTTTGAGGGGGGGGGGGAGTGCGTCTTATAGAGCGAAAAATATGGTACATAAGAATAAAAATAAAACCTAGCATAGTGCAAAGAATGCCATACAAATACCTTGTCTATCATGAGAATGTTAATCTTTTTTCTGTTCCTCTCCATCCAGTTGAAATCCTCCACTCCTGACATGCCTAGCACAAATCCTGTGTACTCTTAGCATGCATCCTGTAAGCCATCCAGTAATCTCAACCCAAAGAATAATACACAGTTCCATATTTGCTTGTTTGTCAAAGTGAGACTTGTTCTTCCTCTCCAAGCAGGGTGGGGCATGTGTTTCTGCTTTCTGTAGAGTTATCAATGCCGCTTACAGAGCCAGGCAGAAATGTCTGACTGATTTCAATACTGCATAGGATAAAAAGAAACCAAGCACCCCTAAGCTTCCTTTCTGATCTTGATTTTTCTACTACCCCCTCCTCTGCAAAATAGGCCAAAAGGTTAGTTTGGAGACTTTGGCCCAGTTAGTAGCAATAACTATTGTTTTAGTATCCGTATTCTAACCAGTAAATAAACAAGAAGATAGAGATTCCTGGGATGTGCTGTAAGGAGAAAATTTGAGAGAACCAGATTTTTGGAAGGGGAAATATGCTGAATAGCATCAGGTCAAATTGTTAAAATATCTTCCAGGAACTGGGGAATAGTGGCATACATTAGTCGGCCAGTGGCTGCCATAGGGATGACTTTTCCAGTGGTGGTATCTTGTCAGTGAAACTCATTTCCCAAATGGCTTCTCAGTGGTACTTTATTTGAGTTTGTTTAGAGACTAGCTGAATACTTTTCTGTTCACAAAAAAATTTAATAGAACTCTGATGTTTTGTTGTTATGATGCATATTAATAGCTATAGCTGTTTTGATTGCTGCATTTTTCTATTCTTCATTTTAAGTGTTCATCTGAAAAATTTCTGGGGTTTTTTTTTTTTGCTTTCTGTTTGATGGAATGCATTGTAGAAAAACACACACATTTAAATAATGATGATGCATCTAATCTCCTTGTTTGTGGTCTGATTACTTTTGTATTTATTCATAAGTACTAATTCCTAAACTCTGGGGTAAACATTAGGTAGGTTTGCACATAACACCAACTCATTGTGGTGGTTCTTTATGATGGGTTCATGGAACCTCCCCACCAGCACCCATAATGAGTGCAGCAAACAATCGGGTTCATTAAGGCTACTTTGTGCCCTTCTCTCTCCTCTCCTATTGTCAGGGGACACTTTGGTCTCCTTTCCCTGAGAGTCCCAGTCATGAGTTGATTTCTGCTCAGTGAGCGTGTCAGAGAGGTCCCATTGTGCAAACAGGGCTTATGCCTTGAAGTTCAATGGAATTAACTTCTGGTGTCACCTGGGACAAAGTACAGGGGCCTGCCTGCTGCCCTTGCAGCAGGCACCTCTTGCATGTTGCTGCAGCTGAGACTGGAAGTTGATCTTGTTGCTCTTAAGGGCACAAGTCTTGTTTCCTTGGTTCCCATGCTGAGGCAGCTGCACAGAGCAGAGATGCATTCCCACCTCTTACAGTCTGTGTGGGGTTAGATATCTTCAGCAAGCAGGGAGGCCACTGTGCAGGCAAAGATGTCATCCCTGGCTGCTGCATAAGAGGTCTCGCTTCAGCAGGCCACAGGGAAGTCTGGTTGGTTGCATGTTGCTGATCCAAGCACAGGGCAGATGTTATCCCTGCTGCTTCTCAAGAGTAGACTGCCTAAGCCACTCAGTGATGACAGCCTGTCATTGTGCCACTGGCTGGAGAAGTGTGAGTCAGTGTTGTGGGTGACCCATCCACTCTGTCTTGCCTCAAAAGTAGACCTTAATAGCAGGTTGCACAGAAGACCCAGCTTCTGTTGGGACTTTGCTG